AGGTCTTTCAGAGCTAGAACTGGGAAGGCTTGGATTATTGTGTCTTCAGGAGTGAATCTGACAAGAACGTGGATACTATCAAACAGTTTAGGGGGAAAAAAAAATCACTGTAAATCTAGTGCCAAGTAAAGGTTTCCCCTTTGTTCAGGGGTCTTTCAGAGCTAGAACTGGGAAGGCTTGGATTATTGTGTCTTCAGTAGTGAATCTGACAAGAACGTGTATACTATCAAACAGTTTAGGGGGAAAAAAAATCACTGTAAATCTAGTGCCAAGTAAAGGTTTCCCCTTTGTTCAGCTGGAGACGTGGTTATTTCCCTAGGGGTGAGGAAGGGTAGAGAGGAAGGACCTGAAAAAAGAAAAGAAGTGATAACACAGAAGTTTTTTTTTTTTCTAACACTATTGAAATTTGAAAATTACTAAGATGTTTAAGACCAGATTTCTATATTTTTTTAACATTTGATGAGGATTATGAAGAAAATAAAGATTCCAATTGAATATTAAAGAAATGATTAAATAGTCCTAATTTTTGGTTCCTGGGTCAATAAGGAAGAAGAACTGTAATGTCTCCCACTTATTTTCTCATATGCAAAACATGATGGACACAGAAATATTGTGACAGACATGGAAATGATGTGAACAGGGATGCAAGTTAAGAGAATGCAGGAAATCTGGTGGGGGAGGCTATGGAGGGTGTGGATGGCAGAGAGGGTCTAAATATGCTTAAGATTTATTGTATAAAAAGCACAAAAACTCATTAAAAATATACATTAAAAAGGTGTGTCCCTCTTTAACCCCTTGGGACAAATTTAGGTAGAGCAGACCACGTGGGAAGAAAGTAATCACAGAGGGATGCTCTAAGTTGCCAACTTCACATGTTGCAACAACACAGACTTCTGAGGAAGCAGAAGCAAGGATATATTGCAGAAAATGTATATCAGATGTGGCTTAAGAATAAAGGAAGTATGATCTGTTATTGCACACGAAGTTCCTCAAGCTTTAAAGTAGCTCAGACTCTGGTGCAGCTGAGTTTGTTCCTCTTAACGAAGGAAGAATTCTTCATGAACATAGTGCTAAAAATTATAAATTATATCCCATCCCATTTCTTCCTCTCCTATTACCCCCATACTCTCCTATTTCTTTCCCTCTCTTGCTATAACTTGATATTCTCAGAAGACATATTTCTGATTTGTTGAATACAAATGCTTGGAAACAAAATTTCTCTAATTAAGAATAGTTGTAGCCAGGCATGGTGACTCATGCCTCTAATACCAGCACGTAGGAAGCTGAGGCAGAATTGCCTGGAGCTTGAGGCTATCCTGAACTACAAATGAGACCTTGTTTTAAAAAAACTTCTCTTTCATAAATTTACCTCAAATATATGAAGTTAGTTATCAATGGTGGCCTCCCCCTTGATGTTGCCAACTCGTTTTCTCCTGTTCTAATTTCTGTGTGATTCAGGAAAAAAATAGCATACTCCTTGAGAAACTGAACAGAGAAGGGTTTGTGAATCCTGACAATGTGACTCGAATCAATATGAACATTTTAAAGTGATTTAATAGCAATTAAAATTTATATTTCTAGCATTATCTTGAAAAACTTACTATATGTATTAGGTTTATAGTAATCAATACAATGGAAAGATGCTAAAATACTTGATTATATGAAATTTCATTTATAAGTATATGATAAATGCACCATTGATTAGAAATAGACTTCATGTAAAACATTTATTTTTTAAACATATTTTCAAGCTCAATGATTAAATTATTAGTTTTGTGTTATAGAAAGCTAGCATGTAAAGCAAAGAAAAATTTATTTTTTTCTATTAAAATTACGTGATACATGTTGTTATGTAAAACACAAATGGAAAGTTCTGCATATAAATATGACAACTCTAGAATCAAGCAATGGTTTTACCAAAGCTACACTAGGCAGATATGGTGATTTTGTTTCTGATGTATGTTATTTATTTAAGAAATAAAACCTAATAACCCTACCTTTCTATGAATCACTGAGACTTTTTTAAAGCTCAAACTATATATATATATAATATTTATATATTAATATTTATATATTATTTTAAAAGTATTATCTATTTTCTGTACAATACAAATTATTAGTTATTTTTATTCCAGAGATTTATGCAACACTTAAATTCATGCCTGTACTTGTAGTACAAGATGCTGAAGAGGATAACCAGTATAGTAACATTTTTTTCTATATAATAATAACAGCCTTATAATATATTGATAAAGGTCACTCTTTGCTTCACAACATCAACTTCATCCATGGTATTCTACTTCCTTATAATATTTAAAATATGTTAATTCTTTGATAAATGATAAACTGTCAGGATACACTGAAGGTTTGGACCTAAAAGAAGATGAATGACTTCCTTCTCTTATTGGGGATGCAGTAGCAGTTCATTTTGTCACCTCAACATGATCAATTACTCCTGAGACACCCTCTAAAATATTTTCTTGATGAAACATGAAAATGCCCAGTGGATTATATTCCCATAAATTAGTTTTAAACTTCCTCCTCTCACTCTCCAACATATACTAGTCTTAAATCATTAACTTACTTTAACAGGTTATTATTGAAGATAATGAATGTGGAAACCTCTCAGCTAGTATGTAAGTCAGCTGGACAGATCTGCTTTTGCTCTGTGTGGGATGAAGAGAGCAACATAAATCTCTATAATTACCAAATAGAGACTATAAAAGAGCACAGAGTTTGGAAACTCATGAAAATGCTCTGTTTTACAGGCTACATGCACTTTTCCTCAGAGTTATTAAACAGTAAAACTATTTTAATAAAATTGAAACCTAAGATTGTTTTACTGTCAGAAAGCAATATATCATATTGTAAATTTAATGAAAAATTATGATGCCTCCCCGCCCCCAAAGCAGCACAAAAAAATCCCTATCCGTGAGTAGTTAGATGCCTGTTTCAAATAAATACAATGGGGTTATTAGCCATGTACTAGCCTATTGAAAATATTATTGATGTTTTTAAGGCAATAAAATATAGTGTGTACTGTATAGCAAAGCAAAGAATGAAACAAGGTGAGTGACACATCGTTACGTTGTGTCAGAGCTGGGCCAGCAGTGGTTAGAGTTGCTGACATTTTATCTCTTGTCACAAATCAGAGAGTTCATGACCTGGATTTGCCTATAGTGTCCTTGTCTGCTCCTGGGTTGGATACCTGCAGGCACTTGTCCAGTGTGCATGATGGGTCCCGACATAGCTTTAGTCAAAAGATCCCAGACCATTTCCTTAGTGTTCCTTAGTGGAACCCTAAGAACTCAAAAGAACTGACCTGCCATGAACTATTTGGTATGTTACCCCTGTCTGTATCATAGTTCAGCTTCGTCCTGCCCGGGACTGTTGGATTCCACAGACAGGAGCTGGGGTATTATCAGAGAAGCCGACGCCAACATTTAGAGGTCAGAATACAGGGACCTTTGAAAAGCATAGCTTCCACCTTTTCTGTCTAGGATGACTCCCTCATTCATTTTCAATTTAGTTATAGTTATTGGAGATCTTTGTATCAGGCAACATCTTAGATCCTTAGGAGGTGATGGATTCATCAGCCAGGATGCCAGAAAGAGATTCCATTTCCTATAGAAACAAAACCAAACCCTTTGCCTGGTATTAGTAGCCTTTCCTGGTACCCAATCTTAGGATTTTCCTGGCTTAATCCAGACATTCACTGGTTCAGGCAGGAGTGATAATTCCTGTAAAAAAATGCTTATCCAAATGAGATAAGACTTCTCCTTGGGGCAGATTTAGGAAGTTAATAAGAAAAAATGTTTCATATAATAATAATTTATGATTCCTACATCCTAAGTTCTAAATTCCTCATAATCTGATGTATAATTCCTTCCTTTTAATTTTTTAATGTACATTTTAATATATCCATGACATTGTAGCTAGAAGATACCCAATTAAATATATCTCTTATATAACCATACATATTACTGTAGTCTGTATTAATGACCACATAGAGGATCCCATTGACCATTTTTTCTATAGACAATAATTCCCTCTGTATCAATAGTTTACACCTTAGCTATTGTAACCATACAGTGTTTTATTCTTAGGCTGTTTTGTATCTCTTTTTCTTATCACAGGATCAGGGGGCCAGCCTGAGCCTGGAGTTTGGAGAATGAATATCTTGATATAACAGGCTTAATTCTGAAGTGGGAGGGCCAATCCCACCTCCAGAGTCAGTGTCTCAGTGAGCTCAAACAGCAAATGACATTTTTCCAATATAAGTAATACAAAAAGGCATCTATCATTCTTAGCCTAAAAGTTTTTACTCACATGTTGAATCCCTTTGAAGAGGGCTGTCAATCTGGATTGGAAAAAAACATTGTATTACATGAACCCGGACCAAGCACCCATGACCCAGGGGATAGGTACTTAATCCAAGTTCATACAACAAAATGCTCTTTATAAGAAACACAGAAAACAGCACTTAAAAGAAAATTGCAAAGAGACAGCATCATAATACTCTAGTTTTAATCTATCCAAATAAATCATTAAGCTGTTGACTAATTGAGAAGATTTCCATTGTATCTTGAGCACAGAACCTTCTAAAGATTATTGCCCTTACATAGATTTGGCAAAGGAAACTCTGTCAGACATGTTATCTGATGTTCTAAACCAGTTTCCTTTGAAAATAGTGCCTTTTCTATTCCATGTTAAAATGCTACCTTCCCTTATGTCATGAGTAAATGGATTATTAGCAAATTCTTGTCATCACGTAAAAGGTCAACAAATTAGTAATACTTGTGTTTTAGGGGGAAATAAAAGTACCAGTCATCATTACAACATTTGAAAAAGTGTTTTGTTAAAAAACAAACCAAAAACATGAAATCTGTGGGAGCAGGAAGCATCCTCTTGGCTCCCTCTGAGTTATGAGAGACTGTATAGATTCTAGTCATCAAAGGATGAGCTTGCATAAAATTAAACAAATTAAAAATACCTTGATTTCTCTTAGCAGCAGTGATGCACTACACAATTGAAACCTCCTTGAGTTGTTTTCACAGACAGATATTATGCCTGCCTTTGGAGAGTCTCATATTTCACACGTAATCTACCAGAACTTATTATTTATTACACTGTCACTCCATACCTGCCAGCTACTCTCAGTTCATAAACACACCAAGTCTTCACCACACGGAATTAGCCAGGATATACAATGATTGGTCTTTGGAAAAGGCTTTCTCTGCTATTTCATCCACGTAACCTCATCTCCTTCTTGTCTGGTGAATTCCTCCCTGCCCTTAGAGGCACACTTCATCCTCCCTCAGAAACCCCTCATGTCTCAGAGATTGGATATTTGGAGATGCAACAAAGAAACTTTTGTACCACTTATAACTTTGCTAGTTATATCTTTATTAAGTATAACTTGTTGAATTTGATGAATCAGCCATTAATTTCCCCACCAAAAGGCAAGTTTCACCAATTTGTTAACATATTAGATAATAACTAATGACTTTGGCAGTGCAGTAGAAATATATATATATATATAT